ATTAAACTTCATGGGTGTGTTTTTATTTCTTGGGGTACAGGGGATCATTACATAATCATGGAAACTCTTTATATAGAAATTAGAAATATAGTTCAGATTGAGTAGTGGGGACAGAAAATGTTGAGACAGTCACTTCTGAAGCTCTGGAAAAGATGCATGCACCCGGAGGAGAAGTAAGTATCATCCTCAACCGCACATTCCCTGACTTTCACGGAAGACTATTAAAAAGGGCAGAGGAATTCCTAATGTAGGTCATTTTCCCCTTTTACATAAATTGGGCTAACTTATTATATTTATGCCCAATAATTTTGGTCATGAAAGAAAATGATACAGAAGTCCCATGATTGCTGCTGCTGCTGTGGGACTTGAACATGTTTAAGGGCCAATGGCATGTGCCTCCAGCAGGCCAGCCCCATGCTCCAGCAGCATCCACCTAACTCAGGGCCACTCGGACAGGCCTCTGACCCCACTGAAGCCACCACCATCCATGGCTTCCCTTAGTCCAAGACCCTATGAGACCACCTGACCCCGCGGCAGGTCAGGCCCAGGTTTTCACAGGCTGGGGTTCACTTTTGAGATCTCAGAAGTATTTACACGGATTCTAGAGAGTTAGTGCTGAATAAAGTGTGGAAATCCTATAGTTGTGTCCTCTGTATTGTGATAAACATTTTCACGAATTCACTTGATTTTCACTACTGGATTCCTAAATGTTCCCAAGTCACTCCCAGGTAGGTCCTTCTCAATAGAATGTGTATGAGACTGTCCTAAATGTACTGTCCTAAATGTCACCCCTGTGTCTCAGTAAGCTGGCTAACCATTCTTGATGTCAACTGTGAAGGATACCTTGTGCATTACTCATATACTTAGTTCAGTTAAATGACAAGAGGGCATAGACACTTCCTGGTCAGTTAGGATCGAGAGCAATTGCCCCAACTTTACAAGGTGTCAATAGATGTGGAAAAGGAGACGTGCATTCCTGTGGTGGGTCCTGTGGTGGAGATGAAAAGTTATCTTCGATTCCCAGAAGTGTGACCCTGCAGCCAACTCAGTAAATTATTTTTTTTTTTACTTTTTTACATATTCATTTATTCCTTTATTTCTAAACAAGCAGTCTCTAAGATTATTTAGTATCTGTTTTAATGTTATTATTACCATTATAATAACATTTTTGCTTAGGCTTTTTAGCAATAGTGTAAACCTACAGTGGCAAGTAAGCTAGCCAAACTGCACATTAAGGTCTTTTATATACTCTTTTCTGTTTCCCTATTGGTATTACTGGGCTTCTTGTGATCCCGTCTATATTTTACATGTTTTTCCTTCTAGAGTCAGACAGTAACACATATAATGCATTCATACTGAGCTGACATGGAAGTTCGTATTTCAAGATAATGAATTAGGACTTTGGGAGGGATCGGTGGTGTTGGTATTAGTGACATGAACAAACTCCAATAAATATGAAAAATATTCTAGGAGGTTACTGTGAGGTAAATAATCCAGGAGGTTACTGTGTAGGGGGTACGTGAAAACATCTCACCACAAAAAGTGATAGCCCAGGAACTTCATGAGTTCAAAAGCAGTATCTAATCATATCCCTCAAAACCTTGAACATAATAAATGTTCAATAAAAACTGCTGAATAAATAAAAGAATAAAAATATTAGTGAGTGGGTCTTGTCTGTGAGAATCTCTTTCTGAATTCAGGTAAGAGTCGGAAAAGGATGATAGCTTGGGGTTCTGTCTTGGCAGAGGGCACACAATTATGACCCAGGTGGTTTCTCTGATGACTGCTAGACCCTTGGTAGTGATCCATAAGGAGTTTTCCTGTATGGACATCTTTTTCCCTTCCTGCATAGCCACATTCCTATAATTTATTCAAATAAGACAATTTTTCATTGTCTACATAATGCTGTTTGGTTAACATTTATCTATACTTTAAAACTGGCAGGCATCCCAAATGATAAGGGAATTAGAATTAAAATTAGTAGCTTCAGTACTTTCATATATTTTAATCACTGCACTTGTTTTTCTTACATTTTACAAATGTGGTTTGATGGTTCTTGAGCCCTGAGGCTGCTTTAATGCAGTGCACATTTTTAGGAACTCAAGAAAATAAACAGATAAAGTTTTTTTTTTTTTTTTTTGCATAGCTCTATATAAAATTAAATGCTTATCACTAGAAGATCAGTTCTTGCAGGAAGTAAATAAATGCTTTAATCTCTGCATATAAAAATCAAGGATTGAAGGTGGTTTCTTCATAAGAACGCTGTGACTCTCTGGTAGAGTGGATGTAGGATCAGCAGCTTTTATTGGACCCCTGCATTCTCTAGTCCACCCAGTCAGTATGTTGCCTGGTCAGAGTGGGCTTTCAGCTTGTGTGTGAGACGTAATTTAGGTGATATCCGCTCCGAACAAGAGCCTCGGAACTAGAAGGTATGACATTTTGCTTGCAGCCTCACTCTTCTAACTTAAAGATAATATTATTACTAGTATCTTACTAGGTAGAGGAAAATATTCATGGTTATTTTCATACTAACAATTAAAATTCCATTTGGTACATTATTCTTTTCACTATATTTTTTTTCCTCTGCTCATTCACATAAAAAATAAGGTGGTAGCCGTGTCCATTCAAAGTAAAATAGGAACATCAAGGACTGAGAAGTTACCCATCTCCTGTCATTTTCCTAGCTAGAATTGTTTAAGATGGAGGGTATGTCTCTCTGCAAATTCTTGAGCACGTATCATTTGTAGAATTAATTAGATGAGTAAGGATGAACAGAGACAAGTGGTTGCCTGAGAAAATGCTTCAAGGAACCGACACTTGAGAACTGATCTCTTTTTTATTGAATAACATAGAATTATAATAGCATACAAGTTTCAGATGTTAAAAATCAACATCTCTATGTATATATATATATATACTACATTAAGTTTACTACTGAAAGTCCATACAAATGACTCCTTTTACCTGATTTACCCACCCCTCTCTGCCTCTTTTCCTACTGATATCCACTTATAGTCTAAAATTTTCAGGCCTCTGGGAGGAATATCACTCCCTGTGAGTTTGCTCTCCAGGTGGAGGTGAAAACCATGTGCAGGCGCCAGTGTGATGACCACCACGCCGGGGAAGGGCAGACATCTGCCTAGGAGGGGGGTGCTGTCTAGGGCCAGGGCCTCCTCTCTCTCAGATCAACAGTTGTGCCCTCTGTTGCCCAGTCCTCAAAGTGAGGGTGTAAAAGGGACAATGAGGAGCAACCTTTGAGCCAGTAGGTGACACAGCAAATTGAAGGTGGAGCCTTCCACATCCACTTCTCAGCTGGAGGCTGATGTAAAACAGGCAAAACTGAGTCTTTGGGCAGATAAGACTGCAGGCCTTTTAGTAGTTAAAACCACTGAGCTTTGGGGTAAAGTTGCTGGGCTTTGGCAGTTGTACCACTGGTGAGGAGAGGTGTCTGTGCAGACGACACCAGATTGCCAAGGCCAGCTTCAGTCTCTGCTTAGCAGTCTCGAAGGGGTAGGACAGGTGCCATGTGCCACCATGTAATTACTCTTCCCCCATCTCAGTCTCTCCCTCGCACTGTATAACAAGTCCTGCTTTCATTGTTTCACACTGTGGCTGCTTCTGGGTTGTGTCCTTCAATGATAAGCAAGTGGGTGAGGCTCCACCCAGGCATCCCCCCAGCTTGGTTCAGTTTCTAGGACCCTTCCTCCTCTTGGAGTCCTGCCTCCCCTGCCACTGCCCAAGGTCCCCCACAGTCCTCCGCCCTGCCCTCTCTTTCCCTTTCCCTGAGACCCTGCCCTCAACTGCAGGCAGCAAACTGGCAGTTGGCAAAAGAGCTGTTAAAAACCTCAGCATCCAAGGTTCCATTATGGTCACCATGGAAACCGTGGGGCCGAGCTTAGGTGGGGGAAGGGGCAAAGTGGGGGACGCCACTTGACAAAAAGCAAGTCCTCTGCCTGGTCACAGATCCCTGGGGCCCTGGAGGCCCAGAGTGGGGCTACCCTACTTGGGCAGGTCACAGCCCCAGTGGAAACCTGGATGACAGGGGTGAGGACCCAACTCACCACAGGTCCACGCTGCAGGAGGCGGCTGGGTTGACAGAGAAGTCACAAAAGCCTAGGTGAGAGCAGCGTGGTGACTGGCTGGCCGAACTGCCTACTGATCAGTTGTAACAGCAAGACCCAGCTGAGTCAGGCCTGAGGATTGGCTGCATGTAAAGGTGACTTCAGAGGAGACGCTGTAGCAGAGTTTCATCTGCGAAGGTATATAAAGCTGGGCCACTGGGCCTAGGCCTCATTTTGGAGAGATGGCTCTCTGGAAGCAGCTTCTCTTAGCCTTGCTCTGTGCTATGGTCTCCAACACTGCCTGGGCCTCCAGCCCCGACTTTGTCCAGCTCAAGAACCACTCAACCTGTCCAGGGCCACAGATCCACACCTTCCTCTTGGCCTTCATGCTGGCGCCCAACTTTGAACTTCTCTGCGGCCGTGGGAGTCCCCGCACCTGCCCTCAACTGCAGGACCTTCTAGGTATCTCAGGGTCCCTGGCCAAACTGCTCAACTACCGATATCCATCTTCAAAGGGCCACTCACTCGGTGGGAAGGGGAATGCCAGTGTACCCCAACCCAAAAGGGTACCAGATTCCCAAGCCACTATGTTCACAGGCCTGCAGCACCCATGGCAGATCACTGGGTTTCCCCAGGACATGCAGCCAGGCCTGGGAGCCCAAGACCAGCACCCTGACAGGAACACCACCCACTCCATGGGGCTGCGGCCGGTCCCTGCTCAGACCCCTACCCAGGACCTCGGCTGGACCCAGACCCCAGGAGCTTTACTTCGGACCAGGTGTGGCTGCCAATACCCACACCGACACCCAGCCCATCAGCTCTGTGGGACACCACCTCCATGAGCCGTACCTGGCACCGGACTCTCCCACCAGCCACGGCTGTGACATCAGGCCCAGTACATATCACTTATGCTACCGTGAGCTGCATGTGGGTCCTGGTATTGCCTCCAAGTACCACTGGATCATCAAGCATAGCAGCTGCTGCTTATAACCCAGTAAGCTGTGTGTGGGACCTGGTGTTACCTATATCACCACCAGTGGGACATCTGGTATATATTTTCTCACTTTTACCACGTGAGCTCCTAGGACCTCGTGCCTCCACCCACCACCAGTGGTACATCTGTCCTAGGACTCACCACTCAGACCACCGTGAGCTTCTGGGACCTGGTGCCCCCACCATCCACCATTGAACAACAGGTACCAGGCCCAGCGCATGGCCAAGTTACATCAGACAGCCACGTGCTCCAATGCACAGAGAGGGAGGCCCCAACAACAGAACCACCCGACATCCTCAGAGTCCTCCTCCCAGGGATGTGGCCTGTGGAGGTCCTTATTGTTGGTGAGCTCCAGAAGGGTAGTGGCTGGTGGCCAGGGGAGGGGGCCTGGCTGGAACTTGGGGCTATGGCTCCCTATGCAGAGATGCTAGCATGCCCCTGGGTCAAAGACCTAGAGCCCAGGGTCATCTTGAGTCAGCTGAACTGGGGGCCCTTTCCGTCATCCTTATCAGGTGGGGGCCCCTTTGAAGAAGAACTGCTCCGGGGCGTCCAGCAGTACCCCCAGGAGGCCAGGGAGGGGCCTCACTGGGTTGCCGGTGGCCTTCTATTTTATAAATAAATATTTTTTGCCACTCACGTGGTCTCCGGCTGGCATCACTGCACACGTGAGGCACCACATTCTCAGCTGGCTGGGTCTCACTGCAGAGTCTCATCTGACTCAGATCTGTAAACCTAAACCACCACCACTGTGTGGAGAAGCCCAACTTCGTAGGCAAATTTGAGGACTAAGCAGAAGAGAGCAGTCAGGTGGGACAGGTCCTGGCGGGAAAGGGTGCCGGCTCGCGCTGTCTTCCCACCCACAACGGGGACCAGCCTCCACAGCGCTGGGTTTTCTCAGTAGAAACAGGTGACTTGAAGGCAAGCTCTGCAGAGGAACCGCATTCCTTGCTCAGGTAGCTGATGATTCTTAGCATCCTGACAGATGCTGGACCTCGGGCGTCGTTACTCTGTGACAGATGAAATCTCTGTGTGAGGAAGACAAGAACTTGGAGGAAAAAACCCATCCTAAGGAAATGCCTGGTTTGGGGCACTGTGGGTCTCTGGCGGGGAAGGGGCCCCAGCTTCAGGGGTGGATTCCTGCTGACCTTGACGTGCTGACTCAGCCTACACAGGGCTATTTCCTTTGTTCCCAAACTTGCTGATTCTCATCCACAGGTGGCAAGGTCAGGGGGCCTGGTCTCCACCCTGAGCGTCAGCTGCTCACCTCCCTCAAGCCTCAGGCAGGGTCACGCAGAGGTGATGCCATAGGGATACTTTCTGACTCCAGAGCTCACAGCCAGTTTTGGGGGAAATGGGTCTGGACCCCAGAGTTAGGTTCAAAACAGGCCAGGGGAGCCCTTGCTCATCAGCTCCTGTGTGATGGGACCAGGGGTGAGACGACCTGTGGGAGGGTCCAGGTGGAGGGGCTGCAGAGAGGGTGCCTCGAAGGGGGCACTCAGACCAGGAAGGGGCTCAGCTTCCATGGCTGCTCTAGGTGCAGGGTGGGTGGGGGGTGAGACAGAGGAGGGGACAGGTGGCACCAGGATAGTGCCCATGGAATGGGAGGTGGTGGGGGCTATGGCTGGGTCTGTCTTCCGGAACTCAGGTGAAGCCAACACAGGCCAGGGCCTTCCTACAACTCACAGGCAGAAAGGCAGGAGGGGGAGGAGGGGCACAATGTGGTGGGGAGCACGTCAGCATGGCCCTAATGTGGCACTGGAAGGGAAGGGCAGTTGTGATAGTTTGGGAGCTGGGAGGTGTCATCTGAGAAGAAGCAAACTAAAGGGCACTTGCCCCTCGGGAGGTTCCTTCTTTAGGGGCTGAGTCTACACTGCAGGTTCAGGTTTAGGAGGGATCTGGGACAGGTCTGGAGGCAGAGGTCAGGGCACAGTGCGCACCTCTGCTCCTACAGCCCAAGCGTCTGACTCAGCCTCCTGGAGACCAAAGCAGCTGGGATCCTGCTTGGAGGTCCCGAGCTTCAGGCCCTCCATTCCTTCATCTGCATAGTGGGGACAACTTGGGTGTGGTAGTTGGGTGAGCACAGGCAGCCACTCAAGATGGCCTGGGGAGGGGAGGGGAGGGAGTGCCCAGTAGGGGCGCATCCCCAATCCTGGTTCTGGTCCTCCCTGCTGGATCAGCAATCACAACAGCTCAGAGAGTGTCCTTGGGCCCCACCCACCTTCCTGTCCTGAAGAGGTGATGCAGCTGCCAGCTCACACAAGGGACTGTGAATTTACCTACCCATTGTGGAGGGTGGGTTTGATGTGTTGATTCTTGGGGGTGTCTCGAGTCTAGCCAAAACAGCAGCTGAGATGTGCTTTCACTTTGTTTTCTCTGTCCATCATATTGCATTCCCCTAGCACCCCTTTGATGATGGGGCAGTTCTTCACTGGTGCTTAGGCTTTTGTAGGGGGGCTAGTCCTTGGCCCGGGGTATTTTGCCCCCATTCTAAACTTTAACTCCTACTTCTCTCAGTCACTTCTTGGTTTCTGGTATAGGTTTAGATGATCATTTTTGCTTTTAATCCAACTGTATCTTTTAAGCACTAGTCTTATAACCAAACTGTGTTTGCTCTGAGAGCAAGTCCCAGTCTGCTACTGTGGGCACTAAGGCATTCACTAAAGGAAACTGGCTTCATACCTTTTGTTCTGATTATCTGCACAGTTTCCAATAAATAACCCAAACCACTCACTATTTTCTAGAATTTCCTGAATGTGTAAAGGTTACAGGAGCCCATAATAGCTTGAGGGCTTAAATTATGTTCATGCCGGGGTTTAGAAATCTTGGGGCATGCCAAATTTGATGTTTGGAGGATGGACGTGTGAGTGATCTCTGGGCAGGAATATTCCTCTCAAAGTTGGAGAGCAGAGGACTTCAATTTGTGTCCAGGATGACCAGTTGGCATCACAGGGGCAGGGCAATTCTGAGTATTATCATAGGGTCTTCTTTGGGTCTAAACTAAACCAGGTTAGGAGTGAAATCTGAAAGTTCTGCTTGGGAGAAATTGCTGTAAAAGCTTAGCTTCACAAGGAAACTCAGTTCTGGGACAGATGTGACAGAACGTAGCACACAAACAGGGAAGAGAGCACCTTCCTGTTGGAATGAGGTGCACAGCAAGGCCCAGTCACATCTGGAACTGCAGGGCTGCAGGCTCTGTATCTCCCTGCCAGCAGCCTCAGCAATGTAGGCAGATCTCATGGCACCGGCTTCCCATGGGGCAGTAAGGAGAGATAGTTGAGGAAAATGTAGGACTGGGAGACACCTGCTGTCCCACACACCCTGCTGGATAAATAATGGGGGCAGACATCAGAAGGCACAGTGTGCACCTCTGCTCCTATAGCCCAAGCCCCCAACTCAACCTCCTGGAGACCAAAGGAGCTGGGATCCTGCTTGGGGATCCCGAGCTTCAGGCCCTCCGTTCCTTCATCTGCAAAGTGGGGACAACTTGGTGTGGAGAGAGGTGGATAAATAATGATTTAATTTATCATACCTTTTTTTGCTTTTTTAAAAATATATTTCTTACTGTTCTAAATCTAGTTCTAAGTCTACCACAAATGAGGTAGGTGCTATGTAAAGCAGTACTTTCTCTTTACTATCTTAAAATTAAAGCCCCATTATGGAGATATTTTGTTCCTTTCCCTTATAAGGTATTTCTAATGATAATTGCAAGTTTTGTTATATTTTATCTGGGCCAACTGACCTGCTTACAGGTGGAGGATTTTACCCATGCTGTCCTTTGTGTGCTAAGCACTGGTTACATTTAGCTATTTGAATTTAGATGAAATTCAAAAATTCAGATTCTTAGACCTATGACATGTATTTCAAGTGCTCAACAGCTCCAAGTGGCTAGTGAGTACCATGTAAAGTAGTACAGATATAAGACATTTCCACCATCACAGAAAGTTCTGCTGGCCAATCCTGAGCAGATAGAACACTAGAACCATAGTGAGCTTCATCTACCTAATACTAACCATATGCATGTCATATGCCTTATGTAAGTTTATCCTTGCAACTGTCCTGTGAGATCAGTACTATTTTTCTCGTGTTCTTCTAATCTAATTCTTAGTATTGCTAAAAGTAGAAGCAAACTTGACAACGGGTAAGTAACTGGCAGTATTAAGCCTGACTCTAAAGTCTGCCTCTCAGCCTCTAGCTTCCTCAGTTTTCCAACATCAGGCTATCTCAACAGCAGATGTCATGATGTCCTAGTAGAGCAATGATGGGGCAGGGAGTTCAGTTTCAGGTAGTGCTGGGATGACAAGGGTGCAGATCAGGAACTGGCTCATCAGGTAACTATGGAATCTCCCGATTCCACAGTTGGCTCAAGGATCCAGGAGAGGCCTGTGGTTTTATTTGGTCCAGCAGTTCCCTGAAGGAACTGCTGCTATTTCAGATAAAACAATTCATCATTCTTGAGTTTTCCTTCATAACTCCTATGGAATTAAATAATCTATGCTTTTTTCTGCAAAGCAATCTTAGCAGGGATACCTTTGTGGAAGAGTTGAATGCATTTGAAGAAACTGAACATAATGGTCTCCTCCGTCATCTCCTCACTTTCCTGGTCATGGTGAGCTCTCAGGAAGCTTGGTAATAATGAGAAGCTTCCTGAGAGCTGAGGGAAGCTGAGGGAAGCTGAGGGACCAGAGTGCAAATCCTGCCTATAATGTGGGGTTTTTTGCCCCAGTTTTCTCACGGTCAATATGGGGCTAAAATACCCATCTCTCAACATTGTTGTAAAGTCTAAATATATTCTATAGAATAGTGAATTATGAGGGTTTAGCTGGACTTACAAAAGAATAAAGGTACTGGCAGAAGACAATACAATTGTTGGAGAAAATCAGAAGAGACAGTCTACTGAAGCTAGAGATTGTGGGAAATTTGGGAGTGTGTAGAAATGCAAAGAAATGGAGAGGACCTATTGCAACAGAGCAAAATTGAGAGAAGAGATGGGAAAATGGAATTTTAGGAAGTGCTGTATAAGTGGAATACTCCTTTGGTGATTTCAATAACGTTATAATTAATTTTCTGTTTATTTTTCAAATGTCAGGACTACTCTTTCCTTGATTGCAAAACCATGCTGACAATGGGTGGTAGAGCTCTTGCATATTGTATAAGAAAACTGACATTTAATATTTGATACAAATCATAGTTATAGTGGGAACAGTTGGATAAAAAGTTAGAAACTCATAGTAACAAAGTTAAGTTTCTGTTGGGGATTTAAGAAAATTAATATCTAGCTATAAAACCTGAGCACCATGGAGTTTATCTCTAAATATGACCTGGCATTTGCTCAATAGTACTTTGTTTTCCTATTCCAACTAGCACTATTGTACATTCTTTTAACAAGCACCTTTATTATTCCTAACTGAAAGAAACTAAAGATAATTATGATGGCAAGCTGAGTTACAGGCCCTTACCTCATTTTTCCATTTTCTGTAATAAATTTTGATTACATTATAACCAATAGTGGTTTGTATAATGTGGGCAAATTGACAATATTATACATAAATGGCATCTAGGAAATATTTGCTATAGGTGAAACACCTGTGTGGTAAGGGAAAAACATGTCCTGGAGTCAAACATTTGGCACTGCTATTTGTTCTGTGTGCCTGATTCTGTGGACTGCCTTTTCACACTTTATGATGTTCTTTGATGAACAGTCTTTCATTTTGGTAAGGTCTGTTTATTTATTCTTTTCTTGCCTAGATATTTGGAGTCATAATGTTCAGTCTTTTCTTCAGGTTAGAGCTAGTTTTTCTTTGTAAGTAATTTGGAGGATTCCCTTTATTGCTGTTTTTCCATGCTTGTATTTTGAACTATTAATGAGGTGTCCGTAACTTTCTCTAAATATGTGTCCTGAATACTTTTCTTCTAGAACCATTGTTATCCGGCTTGGTTTGTAGAAGAAGTCTGATTTTGGAGATTTAGTCAATATCAAAGAAAAAATATTTATAACTATTGCTGAAAG